GGGGGGGTTGGACTAGATGACCCACAGAGGTCCCTTCCAACCCCTACTATTCTGTGATTCTGTGATTCTGTGATGTTACAATGACTGCAAATGCTAGAATACTGCAGTTCAACTCTTCAGCCAGATCAGGGAATAGTCTCTTGCTATAAACTCTGACCTCTTGCAGTTTTCAACTCACCTCATCTAGTCAGCCCTGCGCTGAATAGTTGATTGGCCTAGTGATTACTTCACAGATTGCTTGTCAAAATAGAAACTAAACGGACATAATAAATATAACACATTAAGAACGTAACTTTCAGAGGTAAACAAAAGTGAAGATTTAATTATTTTGGTTGTGATTAAGTATGTAAAGCTTCCTGGTTGCTAACGGTAATCTCCAGAAAAGCAAAATCTTGCACTAATAATTTTAAATAGGTTTTCTTTTGCACTCAACAGTTCATAGATCTGACTGAAGCTATCAGACAGTGTTGTGGTTTAACCCAGCAGCTGGCAACTAAGCACTGTGCAGCCGCTCGCTCACCCTTCCTCTTCCCCTCCAGTGGGAGAGGGAGGAGAAACGGATGAACAGGGAAACTTGTGGGTTGAGATAAAGACAGTTTAATATGGCAACAAAGGGAATACTAATTTGAGGACTACTACTACTAATGATATTAAAAATGACAGTAATGAATATGCAAAACAAACTATATACAATTTTCTCACCACCTGATGACCAATTTGCAGTCAGACCCTGAGCAGCAATCACAGAACCCCAAACTTTTGGATTTTGCGAATTTTGCAAAACTCACGAAAAAGACCTAACTCCCATAAAAATTTGAACTCCTGGAGAAGAAAGGATTTGAACTCATGGAAAACGAGAAAAAAAGATTCATGCCCCTCAGCCAACTGCCATTCACTAACTGAGCACATCATCTACGGTATGGAATATTTCCAGCTTGGGTTACCTGCCTGGCTGTGCTCCCTCCCAGCTCCTGCACACCTGCTCATTAGCAGACTATGGGAGACTGGAAAAAGTCCTTGATTTCACAGCACCAACTAAAAATATCAGTGTTATCAACATTCTTCTTGCACCAAATCCAAACCACGGAAGCTACTGAGAAGTAAACTAACTCTATCCCAGCTGAAACTAGGATAGGCAGTTTTTCCTGAGCCAGTAACAACATCTAGTTGTGGGTTTAGAAGCTGCAGAGAGTTTTCAGAGAGGCAAATTGGGGGTAGATGCAGAAAGAACACGGGAACTGAACCTTATTCCAGCACATAGCTCACACTGGTAACTTCAAAGTCTGCCACCAACATTATTTTACATCCCCACTCTTTAGGAATAAAACTTCATTAAAATAGTGCCAGCCTATTACTGGTAAAATGCTTCTCCTATGCCTGATTCAATCTAAAGTTTGTTAGTACTTTACAGAAACAAAAAAGGGTATTTAGAAACTTATACCCAGTCATTCTGCCAGTTCAGATAAACAGTTGCCACATACACAGTTGTACTGGTCAAACTGTAAGAACGAGTAGCTGCAAGTAAGAGAGGTAAGCAAGCATTACCACACAAACCTGAATCATTGCACTGTACCACTTGCAGGCTGTGAATTTTTTCTACCATAGCCTAGACAGGGAGTCAAGGGAGATGAGTCTC